CCCGGCTGTGCACAAGGCAGAGCCGGGATTTTGCTCAAAATATACATTATGCGCCGCATTGGTTTTCTGCTGCTTTTATTGATTGGATTTAGTGTCAATGGCATGGCACAACAGCTTGTTGTTACTGTGATTGAACAAAGTACGGGCACCGGTGCAGCCGGTGTATTGGTGAAGGCAGGAGCGATTACCGGACAGACGGATTTTGATGGGGTGGTTACCTTGCCAGTTGCCTCCTACCCGGTACACGTTGAATTATCAGGAGTAGGTTATGAACCAACCCAGCAAAAAGTGAACGCAGCCGGTGCCATTAAGATCAGTATTTTCAGAAGCAGGAACAGCCTGAATGAAACAGTAGTTACCGGCGTGCCGCGCCCTACCCGACTGGAAAATGCCCTGTCTCAATACCGGGTTATTACGCGCGCAGAGAATATGGCCCAGGGTAATATCACCCTGGCAGATGCACTGGCTACCCGGCTGAATATAAATGTTGGCAACGACCAGATGCTTGGTACCAATACCAGAATGCAGGGCATGGGTGGCAATAAGATAAAGATATTAATCGACGGACTGCCTGTTAACGGACGGGAAGCCGGCAATGTGGATATGGGCCAGCTCAACCTGAACAATATTGAACGTATTGAAATGGTACAAGGCCCCATGAGCGTAGTCTATGGCAGTGATGCCCTTGGGGGTGTTATTAACCTGATCACCCGTAAAACCAATAAAAATTGGGAAGCAGGTGCCGGCGTTAACTATGAAAGCCTGGGCAAATACAATTTTGACTTTAACGCATCCCGCAGATGGGGACGTCATCAATTAGCAGTGGGTGGTGGCCGCAATTACTTTAAAGGTTGGAATGAACAAGACACAACCAGTGGCGTGCCTCATCGTCGCTTGTTATGGAAGCCTAAAGAACAATACCTGGCAAATGCCACCTATAACTATATCGCGAAATCAGGCTTTAAAGCGCAACTGGCAACGGATTATACCCGTGAAAAAATAACCAACCTGGGTGATGTAAATCCGGTTACAGGCATCGCATTTGATGAATATTACCGTACCAACCGCCTGAATAATCGTTTGATCCTGGAGCATAAGATTGGAAAGAATGGGCGTTGGGAAAGTAGAAACAGCTACGCACTTTATTCCCGCACCAGGCAAAGATTAAGTAAGAATATGGTGACGCTTGAAGAAAAAATGACGGAACAGCCGGGAGATCAGGATACGTCCCGTTATGATGACATCAACCTGCGCAGCAATTATAGCAACATCCTTGGGCGCCTGAAGTATGATGCCGGCTATGATGTAACGCTTCAATTTGGTAATAGTGGTAAGATTCCCGGAGGCAGCAAGTATATGGGTGATTATGCACTGTACCAGAATTTCTCTATGGCTTTTCTGAAAGAGAAATTAACGCTCCAGGCAAGTCTGCGGGAAACGTATAATACTCAATATGCCGCCCCGCTGATCTATTCCTTCCAGGCATTGTATACGCCTGTAAAGCCACTACAGATCAGGGCATCCTATGCAAAGGGATTCCGGGCGCCTACCTTAAAAGAACAATACCTGGATTTTATAGACTTTAACCATGCAATATATGGCAACCCCAATTTAAAGGCAGAAGTAGGTGATCATACACAGGTTTCCATATCCTATCAACTATACGAGCAGAAAAATAATTTTGTGCAAGTGATTGTATCAGGCTTCTATAACGATGTAAATAACATGATCGCACTTGCGCAAAGAGAAGGCGCTCCGGATAACAGCATTGAGCGTATTTATACCAATTTTGCAAAAATGCAGAACACCATTTTCAATCTGCAATTAGAGCAACAATGGCAGAACTTTCACCTGGTATTAGAATATGGGCTTACGCATACCCTTAAGCAGGCAGGCCTTTATAATGCTTATGACGCTGCCGAATATACTGCCCGGGCCAACTATTATTGGAAATGGAGTGGCCTTACCTTTAATCTATTCTATAAGGGAATCGGTGCCCAACCCTTTGTATCAGAAGGTGCTGAAGGACTTGCCACTCCTGTCGGTCAGATTAATCCGTACAACCGGATGGATGCTTCCATAGAAAGAAAATTCTGGAAGAAAAAAGTACAGGTAGTAGCTGGAGTAAAAAACATTTTT